AATGCAATTTCGGAATGTAACGAATGCGCTCTGGGAGCATCCACTGTGGTTTTTAGTTATATTAAAAAAAAACCCCCCAGCACACATACAGAAACAAAAACAGAGAAATGGAACGGGTAGAGAAATTAAGGAGGAAAACGTTTGAGCCACACGCTCTACGGCTGGTTGGGCAACAGGCCAGGAGCCGAGAGCAGAGCACCAGCTGACCCTCGCATATGGGGGAAAATAAATTGCTTTTAAGCGACGTGTCCTGCTCCTGCTCCGGCTCCAGCTCAGGCCCCCCTCCCAGAGGACCTCGAGCGTGTCGCTATTCGGAAAATGCAATAAATACAAATTTCAGTGATGCATTTATGCGCGAAATACGTGTCCAGACACGCCCCCAGCCCCCGTAGCCCCTGCCAGCTGGGCAGTTATTAAATTATCCACCAGCAGGCACACTAACTGGATGTACAGACATTGCGTATGCGTCTAGTTGGCCGGAAACTAGACTTTTGCGTCGGGATAACTTATTTTCGACTTGCGAATTTAATTATAAAGGCACAAACTGGGCGTTAGACAGCGGCCCGTTTTCATAATTAATGCCCACTGTATCATGGGATTATTATTACGCATTAATGGAATACTGTGTGGGATCCTTTGTTCGGTGGAAAAGCCAGGGATTATATAATTTGCTGCCGGCCGTGCGCTGGATACATCTTGGAGACCTTGGGGGTAGCACCTTAAGCAAAGGTGGGTTGCATCTACCTTGTGATGGCAGTCGGGGCTGTTCATCTGTGCCTTTGTCTGGCTAATGCTAATGGCTGGCCGTAATCGCCTGGCCTCGCTTTGGCTGCTGCTGCTGCTCCTTCACTGCCTCTCGTCTATAATTAGCCTCCTTGTTCAACATTTTATTTCGATTATTGCACTCCATTTGACTTGAACGCACAAAGACAAGCCATTAAGGGCGAGATAATGCCCGGCCGAACGAATCTGGAGTCCAACATTGCGTATGCGCAACGCCGACGACTTTTGGGCGCACGCACGCGACGCATAATTCATAAAGCGATAAAAGTGGAGCACATAAAACGGCAACGGAAAACTTTCAACAATAAACTGCGGTGGCGGGAGGCAGGCGACGGGGACAGGGACAGGGACAGCGACAGCGACAGATACCAGGTTTTGGCCAACAAATATGAAGCAATCAAAGAGACAATAAGTGAACGCAGAGCAGCCAAAAGGAGTCGTCGTCGCCGAGCCGGGGCTAAAGAAATGCAATCAAAGCGAAAAGTAATCTCGGCGATAAGTGCGAAAACGTGTCAAATGCCAGAGCGGGGCAGCAGCAGGCAGGAGGGCAGGGCGGGTCGGATCGGATGCTGGCAAATGGGGGGCGTGGCTGCAGCTGACACGGAGAAGATGCCGCGCATCATGGCAGTCAATAAAGCGTAACAATATTTGCCACTGTCTGCTGTTCCTGCTGCTGCCGCTGCCATTGTCGAAAACAGTTGACAAAATGGCGAAAATATTGTAAATGCAAAAAGTCGGGCGGGGGAGCGTCAACTTCCGGGACCGTGCCCGTGCCTGAGCCCGTGCCGTGTTTTCCTTTGGGCTCCTGTGTGTTTGTTTGGTAAGCGACACGCAGCCTGCGGCAAAGTTTGCATTCAGAAACTCAGGCATTGCCATCTGTTGGAGGTTGTTTGAGTGAAAACTTTTGGCCAGGCACAGGCACAGGCCCAGAAGCAGGCAAATTTTTTGACGCATTAGCACGAACCCTTCCCCGCAGCCCTATACCAGGCCGTGCCACCCTCTCAACTCGTTACATGCTTCAAATATGCCATTTCCCCCACCGCATACACCGCACACACCACATACGCACCGAACCACTCGAAAATCGACTCGAATTTCCATAATGTCTGCCACAAAAATGCGATCGATTTTCGTGGTGTGTGAGAGAGCTGCAAAAAAGACATAATGCTGCGGGCGTGGAGAAGAGGGGGCGTGTCGTGTCCTGTCAATGTGTGTTCGTATGAATATCTAAAAAAAAACGTGGCCAAAAAAAGTGGAAAGAACAGAACAGCAAAGTCAGGTCAGCGGGAATTTGTGTGTGTGCGGCGCGGGGCAACTAATGGCCTGGAGCTGCCACTGGACGCATTGCTGCGTGGCATTACCCAATCTATATATAGACGCGGATATTTTTACATGTGTCTCCAAATGCGCTTTTAATGTAAAAGGATTCGCTAATGCTTAATGCCTGCAATGAAATCGCACACGTGGCGTGGGCGCTCTGCAGGATGCTGGCTGATTGCTTCTCCCAGCAATCCCCAGTCCCAGACCCACTCCCACTTCCACTCCCACACTCCAAATGTAATCTTGACAGGAAATTCCAGCCAAGCGAAATGAAGATTGATGGATTTTTAGCATTCGTCAGAGCTCCAGAGCCGCGGAGGGAAGGGAAGGAAGGCAAGGTAAGGCAACAACAACTCCTTCCCTTATTTGTAGCTAATAAGTCGCAAAAATATTTGGTAAACGGCATTGGAACGTGTTCCTCTCGAAAATTTCAAGCAAATTTACATTTAATATGACAAGCAGGCGTTGACGTGCTTCAAAGCCGCTATCTCTGTCTCTCTATCTCTGAATCAGGCCAAGCCTTCAGGCTGGAACGGGGCTGGGGAGTGGCAGGTGGAAAACTCAATTTGGGTAGAACTTTTCCCTGTGAGAGAGAGGAGAGTAATGGCTAAAAGCACACTCCACACTTAAGCAAATTAGTGTGATATCATTCGAGAAAATCCCCCCAGCATGGGAGGCGCCAGTAAAAGGATGAGGGATCGGAACCCATTAGCGACTGACCAACGCATCAGCCTCGACTCGGCTCATATGACACAAGACACACTAGACGTATACGTATAACTTGACTGACATATTGACACACTTTCATACTCACATAGGGATAGAGACAGAGACGGAGGAAGTGCTTTAGAGTGAGAGGTTAAATCCTATTCTGGCAGGAGCAGAGCTCTGCTTTCTTGTGGTGCTGTAAAACATTTTATAGGCAAATCGATTTTTGTCTAAAGTGCCACAAACACGCATAACCAGCAGCAGCGGCAGCAGCAGCAGCAGCCACAGAAACAGCCATAATGTGGCACAAATGGTCACTCTTCCTCTGAAGAGTGTATTAGTGGACGGAACAACTGAAAAGGAAAACTCATTTGATATGAATCTGTTTCCGTTATCGTTCCGATTTCATTTTCGGGAGCACTTCAAAGTCCTCTGACTTAGGCTAGAGAAAATAAGCTTTAAACTGGAGATCCCCGGCTCCAATCTAGCAGCTTGTTTAGGCAAATTAATGAGCCTCATTTGCAGATTGATGTGCAGCAATTATGAGCCACCAGGCAGCAACACCAACACCAACACCAAGCAGCATAAAGCACTTAGAGTCCTGATTCTGATTAAGTGAGCGCCAACATGAGAAGCAGAGCAGCCAGGAAGAAGGAGCAGCAGATGACTTTAAGGTTCTTTAAAAGCAATCAATGCTGTAGAGAAGACAAAGAGGTAGTCAGACAGACGGACAGACGGCACAACTATCAGTCACTGCGGTCAGCTGGGTGTCAATCAAGGCAAATGCCATTGCCAATGCCGAGTCAAGGCAGTCTTCGTCTTGGGGCCTCCTTTCCTTTCGTTTCTATTCTTTTCTTTTTTAATGAACGCTTTGACAATGCCTTCAAGTGCGAGGACAACGACTGACAGACAGAGCACCGAGGACTGTCGCCCAAGGGTGAGAGCACAGTCGTGCTACGCCTTTGTCTTGGGGCCTCAAGTGGAGGATAATGAGTTTGATTCTCGCTGCAACGATTGCCCTCGGCATTGCCCAGGGCTCTGACGGGTACTGTTACTGCCACTGCCACTAACACTAATACTAGCACTACCACTACGATTGTGGCTGCCAACTAACTGCAATGTAATTAAAGTCATGTCATTGCCGACCCCATTGGCAGGCATTCGAAATGAAATGAAGTGGCAGCCAGTGCAGGCAGAGGAACGGGAAGGAGCAAGGAGAAAGAGCTGTGGTTTCCCTTGGGATATTTTCTCCCACTTAAGTGGAATATTTACTTTACCCAGCTGCTCTTTTTCTCGCAGTGTACGCCTCAACGTTGCCATTGTTACCTTTTCCTCTTCTAATGAGAAAAGTTCTCCTCCATAATTAAAGGGTTGTCTGGCGCACCCAAAGCAAAGATTCGACTCAACTCCACTCGACTCTTGACTGGTTCAATTCATTAGCAATCTGTAAACGTGGCCAATACAAGTGGCAAGTGACTTGCGGTTAAGCAATCCAAATTCATAAATCATGGCCAATTAGCACAGAGGAGAGCGGAGCGGATAGGAGCGGAGCCGTTGCCATTGCTACAGGGCCTAGGCTTAGTCCAGGACACAGACAAACACACGCACATTCAGGCGGCAATATCAATAACTTAATTAAGACGAATGCGAATTGTATACAGTCTTAGCACACACACTAAAACATACACTAAAACACACACTGGCACACCCCCAGAGCCGGCACGCGGCCATTTTTGGGCGTTGATTTTCGCCCTAGATTTTGGGGCTGGCTGCACTGGGAAATCCGTGTACGCATTAATGTGACGCGTGTTCCCTGCCCCGCCAGCAGCCAACAGGCAACAGCAAATACACTCAATTAATTTATGTATATCTCTCTCTCTGCTCTATCCCTCTGCTCTCTGCCCTCTGCCCTTTGCCCTCTGCCCACTGCTCTCAGCTCTCTGTGTGGGCGTGACCATGTCCGAATGTGAAAAATGGATAATTAGTTAATTGCGGTACGTGGCGGCAGACAAATGTACGCAATTTATGTATTTTAGTTATTAATTAAGTGCGCGATGCTGTTAATCTGTTTGTCCTTGGGTCCGGCTTTGCCTTGGGTATGGATTCCATGGGTAATATGAGTACTTATAGAGGGGAAATTCGTTTTCATTTGCTAATGAGTTTTGGCCGACACTTGGTCTTATACTTACTTGATCTTCTCCCATAGCTCCTCGCCAAAGTGTTTCAGAACCAGCAGCTCCAGGGCGTAGTTAACGAAGCCATACTGCGGAGAGTCGAAAGAGAACAGAATGGAGAACGATTTGTTTATGGCAGTGATGTTTATGGCAGGCGCTTAAATAGGCATAAATATCGTATCTATCCGACTTGACTGTCTCCGACTTTGCTCTTAAAAATCTCAGCAGAAGCCAGCGGCTCTCTGATTTTAATTGCATTCCCAGACGGGACTCGAAACGATAAATTTGAAATATGCGAAATCAATAGCGATTGCGCACTTTCATTTCGTTTTAAATGTATCCAAAAAGCAATCAATTTGATTTGTTACGGAACGGGACGGGACGGGACGTGGACCAAGGACCAAGGACCAAAGACCAAAGAAGTGGAAGGAGGAGCAGCCAGCCAGGCAGACGGGCAGACAGGCAGACATACCTTTGGATATCCCAGATACGCAGCACAATCAATCGCTTCCGCCGGAAGTAATACTAAACAAGCAAAATACTTGAAATATATTTACATACATTACGCATACGTCTAGCTGGCCGAACAACAGGCCCCCGTCCTTGTGTCTGCCTGCTCCTGCTCCCCTTTTCTGTTTCTGTTGCTTCACGGTTTCTTGTTGTTTTATTCTTTTGCGTTTCTTTCCTGTGCTTTTCTGCTTGGTTGTCTGATGAAGATGTATCTAACCGATATTTGATGTTTATTGCCTTTGTTGGGGCAAGGCGCATTGAAATGTTGTAGCAGTCTCAAATGCCACCCAGAGGCTACACACGTGTGTCATTTCAGGGATTGACAACAGGGTTATAGAATGGCGGTTTGGAGGACTGCGAAATGCTGTGAAAATCGCAATCATTAGATCAACATTTCTTTGCATATGTCAACGTACGGAGGAGACTTCCTTTGGCGGGGAATCGAGTTGATTTGCTTTTTATCAATAGAATTGAGACAAGGAGTCTGATTGAAATGGCTTCGAATCGGAATGCCTTACGGCCAGAAATCCTATTGAAAGGAATTCATTCGTTGCCTTCCGGCCCACCTTTAGAAAGGCTTTCAATCAGAATTTAATTGAATACTTTCAATTAATTTCTATTTTAATTAAACTCTGCATTCACTTACCATTTTTGGGTGATTTTTTCGTTTCCGGTTTTCGCTTAATTGAAACGCTTGTCCGCGTATTTAATTCACTTTCACAATGAATATGTTCAAATACATATCACAACTGAAATTGGACACCAGAATATTCAATTTATTGCGCTTTCACTTATATCTGCCCCCCCGGATTTCCGCCACCCGCCACAGCCACAGGCAACACACCAAGGGGGCGGGGTGTCCCCGAGAGAGTGCGAGGGGATTGTTCAACAAATGAAAACGTAATAAATTGTATCTGGCTTAACACACAACTGATATGACGGCTATGATAAACGGAAAAACCCTAATGAAAATTACAAAATAAATATTGTGGTCTGTCCAATTATGAATGGGAAAAAGGGCAATGGTGGATGGCCTGGGGACTCATTCGTTATTCGTTATGTAGAATTGTGGTGAATCAAACGATGCTATGCCCCTGCGGCTATGAATATTTCATGAGTTTTAAATCGGCTCTTTCCCTACATTATATATTTTCCTTAAAGGAAGGACGGGTGCAAACTCTTCCCATTTTAAATTCTTATTTCTCTCCAAAAGCAGGGCTTTTCTGAGGCTTTTTCAAAATACCTCCACTAATCAAATATTTAAATGAGCGGAAAAACAAAAGTCGAACGGCCCTCGAGTGGCTCCAGGTCCTGGCCAACAATTTCTGGGGCCATAGCCTCGTGGCCGTTGCCGTTACAGCTGCATTCTTGTTTCGCTGCCATGTGCCTGTTTGTTGCATGCCACATGCAACACGTGCGGAAGCCAAAGGCTCCGCAACAACAACAACAACAAAACCATGCCAAGACCCGAACAGCCATCAACTGGGTCAAAATAAAGCCAGGCAAAAATAAGGCTGCAATAAGACGTTGAATCGGGGCTAATCGAAAGTTTGATGCTCTTCTCGGGGACCCAGAAAAGGGATTCTTGAGTATGCGGAGTGTAGAGCTGTAGAGAGAACTGGGATATTCAATAACCTCATGAATGTGGCAGAATGCTCTGATTCCGTGGGTAAGCCTATCATCACAAAACAAAACAAAACAAAACGAAAAAAAACAGGGGCAGCTAAAACGGCAGCCTGGCGTGGCAACAAAGGGTGCATGCGGCTGGTTAATTACACAAACACACATGCAAAGCACAACACATTCGCACACACAGCACTCAGGTGTAAGGGTAAGTGTGAGAGAATCTCGAAATTTATGCGCCACGACGAGTGCACGGCAATTAAGGCATTGCCAGCACCAACAGCGAGTTTTTCTGAAGTTAGGCAGTTGCCTAGGCACAGGGGCAGGGGAAACGCCTCGAGACAGGGCCTGAGCAGCCCCGAACAGAGCTGAATAGAACGAAAAGTGGCAGCTCTCTGGGAGACAGGTGGGGCATCAAGTGGGGGCTCGAATTGAGATGGGAAACTTGTGGACCTGCAGAGCAATGATAATTGTAAGAACAGGGAGGAGCAGCAGCACAGCTTCCACTTGAGGGTTTCGGATTCGGCCAGCCGTAAGGGACTTAACCCGGGCGACAGACAAAGCTACACTTTAAGTCATCTCCAGACTGGTTTCTGCTTTAAAAGGAAAAATCGATTTTCTCCGGCATTTGTGTAGCTGCTGCCACAAAGCCCATTAGCAGAAGAGTCGTTAAGGTGGGGGTCTCTGTATCACTCTCGTTTGTATGTATGTAAGTACATACATACTTTTCCCATCTTCCTGTCAACCTTCATCGCGGCTGTTTGCTTTGGGCCCTGGCTTATTGCGATTGCTGCAATACTAGGTATTAATCAGGCAACGAGTTCAGACAGCAATATTTCTCAATGACCTTAGGGGCCCAGGCTCAGGCGCAGGTCGGGAGGCAAAGCATCCTTCCAATTGAGCGAATTTTAATTACGTGCAACATTCGGAATTTTGAGAACGGTGCGGCAGAGGCAGCGGCAGCGGTAGTGGCAGTGGCACACTGTCAACAAAAGTGGGAATCGAAGGAGTCCTTGTGCTATTTTCGGGGCACCCGTCGACAAGAGTGTAAATAAGAGGCCAAGAGTCGGTGGCCAGGCATTTGTTTGGCCAGGCTTAGAGCACGGCCAAGTCGCTTCGATTCGGTGGAGAGCCTTAGAGTACGCTTCGACTCGGCGGTGGGGCTATTTGTTAGGGGCTCAAATGAAGCTATTTGGCGATGACGGGCACGCCGTTTGATAATTGCGACAAAATGACGCTTAAAAACAAAACGATATTCACGCGCCAACGGTGGAAAGTGGTGGATGTCGCTGTCGCTGTGGCTGTCTGGCTGTCGGGCTGTCGGGCTGTCTGCCCGTCAATTTAGCGCTAAACTGACAATAACTGAGTTAATGATGAGCCTGCCATTAGGCCAGGACACAAAATGAGGCAGAGCTGGGACAAAGAACACACAAATTGTGGCCACACGTTGGGGGTGGGGATGGGCTTGGGCAATGTCGTGTCGAGTTTTGCAAAGAGATAGAGAGAGACAGAGAGGAGAACAGAGACTGGCAATTGTACATTCAACTCTGTGTCTGGTCTGGCGGGGCATTTATCAAATATAATGGACATTCACTATCGTCCAGCGGAGCAACTAAAACAACTGTCAGCAAATTGCCGTGGGCACGCAAAGCTAAATGTCTAATAAACTTTGACATATTGGGGCAAATATTTCTATTTGGTAAACTTGGGCAAAACAGCGACAAAACACACAGCGCACACACACCATACACAAAATTGAACAGAATACGAAACATAAATTATGGGCCTCCCATCCATGGACCATGGACAATAATGGCGTGAAATATGCAGGCAGGAACAAGAAAATAAATCGGAGCGCACGAATGTAGGCTTTAATTTTTGAGGCGGCGGCCTTTGCTTGGCTTTAAGAACCAAAATAACCAAAAAAGTCCGTCATTATACACATATTCGCAAATATATCTGTCACTGTATATATCTCTCGTATCGTATATATCTCTTTCTCTTTTTGCGGGCCTGTAATTTACATTTGTTTTTAGGGCGCGTTGCTTTTTATTGTGCGATTTCTTTTGCTCTCTCACTTTTGTTTATTCTCCTCAGTGCGTTATTTATTTGTTTTGCGTTTAGTATTCTACTTTCTCCGTTCCGTAGTTTCCCACACCGTACACCCCGATAACTGGCAACTTTCACTTGATGAGTGCCTGGTCGACTCCTGATAAGAGATACGCGCGCGAGTCTCAAAGAATCCGTACTCCGTTCTCTGTTGTCTGTTGTCTCCGTAGTAAATTTGACAATTCGCCTGGAACAGCCGGGGACGAAAAAACACGACACTTGTACCTTCACGATTATTCTGGCGGTTTGGACTTTGCAAGAATTTACAAAAACTTGGTCAAATTTCTCAAGTACATTCTGTGTGTGTAAATATAAATATATTTTTAGTTTGATATTTATTTTTGCCGAAAATATCAATCTGGATGTTTTTGTGGGCTTTATCTGAACTACTTCAGAAAGCGATCTGTTGTGTCGTCCGCGAAAATACGTTAGTTATCAACTTCTGAACTTATTTTCTTGACGCAGCACAGATACCGCGTTGGTCGAAAGTTGAAAACCGAATGGCAGACATGCTGAGACATGCATCAAGAGCGAGAGAGTTTCCAGAGAGAGTGATAAAATATACCGTTCTACCACTACCCATACAGAAGATGTGCCATACTACGAAGCGTCACACGAGTAACCAGAGACTTCGGCTCTGTCGTTCGGGTACTGAACGTCATCATGAGCCGCACATCTTTGTATGTGTTAGTACACACACACAATATGTTTCGAGAAATGTTTCTCTGAAATGTACCGAAATATACGGTTATATTTAAAAAATATACCGACGAATTATTCATATTCCTCGTTTTTGATATTCCGTCAAATATTAATAGCTAGCCATGATTTCTATGCCTGAACATATAATTTTATACGATTAAAGAACCAATTGTCTACAAGATATGCGTATTTAAGGGACACCTTGTTATTGGACTGTATCTGAAAAAAGGTTTAAGTGCCTCGTGCTTCGTGTGTGGGCCAGGACCAACTCCATCCGCCCACGTAGCTGTTTGTTGTTGCTGCTCGAAAGCTGCTCTCTAAAGTTAACAGAGCCTAAAAGCTATTCTACTTGTCGATGTAGTTGCAGAATTTTACATGTAGAAAAAGAGGACGATGCCAATCGCCAACAGATGGCAGCAGTATATTGTTTACCAGTTAGCTGGGAAGATTTTTCAAATCAGGGATACAAATTAAATAAAAACGGCATCTGGACACCGGCGTCTTCAGGATTCTGGCATCTGGTGCGATGGAGACCGTGGAGAACGTGCGTGAGCCGTGGGGGAATGGGGCTTGCTCCACCTCTGCCTGTACCTGTGCCTGCCGCTTTCCTGGTGTTCTCTCGACCGAGTACAGCGACGGGAACGGAATCACGACGACGAGCGATACCCTTCAAGGATGTGCGCGATGTGCACGCCCTGGACGTGTCGGTGGCGGAGAGGCGCATCTACTGGACTGACCAGAAGACCAAGTGCATCTTCCGGGCCTTTCTCAATGGCTCCTATGTGCAGCGGATCGTGGACTCGGGTCTGATTTGGCCGGACGGCATCGCTGTCGACTGGCTGGGCAGCAACATCTACTGGTCCGATGCGGAGGTTCGTCTCATCGAGGTCTGGATGGCAGCCCGCCTGGATGGCAGCGGTCGGCGCGTGCTCGCCATGACAAGTATGTACATTTATTAAAAATAAATGAATAAGAGATTATAAATAAAATTGCATATAATGTTGGTCTAATTCCTTTTTCAACTTAAAGTGAATTTGGACCTCCTTCCATTTTCCAGAAGCGCCTGTTAATCATTCGCTCGAATTTTCCTTCTTTCTGCTATTGTTTGCTCTGCGTTCACTTCATCTCCCCAATCGCTCAACTTCCGCTTCTGGCGTTATTTATCGGTGGATTTATTTACTTTCTGCTGATTTTTATCGAATGGCTGTGAGGTCGTCGCTTCTGCCTTCGCTCAGTCAATGGGGCGGCACGCATAATTTACCTACGACAATAGAGTTTCGGGGCAGCTCCAGTCGAGCAGATGAACACAGCTCCAGCAAATAAATTAGAGCCACTTGCATTACAATCAGCAAGCGACATTCATGGGTGTAGGACAGTAATTGAAATTGAATGGCAGGCCTGTCAAGGGGCCAGAGCCGGGGCCAGTGTCGGGACCGGCACCTGTTAGAGCACGGCATCGGGAATTGCTTGGGACAAGTGCCGACCCGAGCCACTGAAGCCAGTCAGTGCATCCAGGCGATAGTCAGGGCATAAATGAATTATTCACCACAAAAACATAATGAAACATTGTGCATTGTGCAAGTTTTCATTGTCGTAACCGCACTGGTTTAATCGCGTTTCTGTCCCCAGCAAACGCACAAAGGTTCAACTTCCTTCGGCTGTGGTGCCCGATAAACGTCAGCGCGTAGCCGCAGGCTCACCCGAACCTGCCTCTGACAGGCCACCCACTCTGCTGCTGACACTGATGGAGGAGTGGTGCAGAGTTCGCACCGGGAGCCACTGGGGCAGGCCAGGTAAGCAGTGCCAGCCATCAGCATCCGACTATCAAAGCCATTGTCACTCTGCCCCCCAAGGGAAACCAGAATAAATCAGGGATGGCACAAATCAAGGTATGTAAATATCATTATTGGTAGATAATTGGTTGACATTTTGAAGTTACATCCGACTAATTCGGGGTTTTAGTTAACCTTCTAAAGTGAAAATGTAGTTACTGTTTTGATGTTTACGTGGCACATCTCTAGCCTCAACCACCTTTCTTAGCCAACAAAAGCCCGTCCCCGAAAGGTTTGGGTCTGCCTGTTCTAGACATTTTCAGCCATTAGAAGTCAGATTTTTGATCCAATTTCAGTCGCGCAACTAAGTAAGAAGCGGAATAGGGATAACCGCGGGATGCCAGAATGGACCTGGCATCTGTCTGCCCCATTGTGCAAGTGAAATGGAGCGTAGCACGCCACGGTAGAGCGAAGAAATGCTGTGCTCTCCGCCTCCAGACTCTAATCAAGCTGGCTGCCAAAAGATGACTATCTTGCTGGCTTTTAATTAACAAGCGTAGGAGAAGGCCACATCGAAGGCGAAGGAGTTGAGGTTGATATTGAGGCTGTGGCTGCGGTTGGGAAAACTTTTTTGGGCATCTCAATTGCTGCACATAGACGACAGCAGCTCCGTGCTGGATATTGCTTGGAATCTGTTTGTGTGTCGGGCGCACTGAGACAAAGGACAAGTGCATCAGGATAATCGCATCACACTCGAGTAAATAAATTCCTGAAGTGGAACCAACTTTCCGGGTTCACGTTCACTCCGCACCCAGCCAAAAACATGTTGCCATGCTCTACATGGGCTAACAATGGGTGCTGTCCGTCCCTAGCTCCTCTTGTCGCCCTTGCAGCATGTCCTTCTTTGCTGGATTTTCGTTGTCTTCTACGTGCCAGCGGATGATATGGCTCTGGCACTGAGACCCAACGCCCACACAAAAATTCTCGCACAAAGGAGGGAATTTCGCAGTAGAAATAAATATTTCAATGTTCTTTGCATTAAAATGTGTGAAGCAAGTTTTTATTTTCTAGATAAGCCAAAAGGGGGAAGTGATTGAGACCTGCTCCCTTTGGGTTATTATGTCCGAAGCGTCAACGAGTGGCAATCAATGGAATGCTGGAATAATCAATGCTCAAAAGATTGTGTGTGCACACACAATTATTTTGCGAGAAAGGGATACGCCCTTTATGGGGCTTCCCTGCAGATACGAATGTATGCTTACGATAATATACGATAAGGAATATGAATAATTAGGTTCCACATAAAGAAATTACCGCACGCTGTATGAAAGTACATGCTCACGAGAAAATGCCAGCTCTATTTATAAACACAATGGCTTGCAGCTCTGAAATGTACGATAAACCTCAAATAAGCAATCTCGGATTGGATTTGCATGTCTTGCCATTTGTTGGTCGACTTGCCTTTCAGTTGCAACCGCATTGGAGTCCAGTAAAAATGTGATTCCCAAGAAGAGCATGTCGAGTGCCAAAGGCCAGAGGAGCAACAACCGCCTCATTAGAGCGTGGCCAATGCACAATCTTGCTTCTTGCGGGTAATCATAGCCCAGAGGTCGGTTATGGGTATTTGATTTGCATTATCAATGCAATGTATAAATAATTATATGAGGTACATGCCATATGAGTATGTAGTGTACATAAGACTTTTCAAAAATAGCCCGTTCTTCATCTTCTGCCGCCGTCGACGACAGCTGATGGAGGGTTCTATATTCTATAGACTGCCGGGAAATACTGTAAGTATTTGCAAGTGGCAGCGCGCGTTAGCTCTCCCGCCTCGAGTGGCCTTTGAGGTGGAGTGGAAAAATATCAAGTGCTCATCGACCGACCCGACCCGACCAGACCAGCTCAAGCCGCGGCGCATCTAATTATTCACGCGGCTCATTCTAATGCCACAAATCGACAGATTGTATCGCCAGAGCCGGGGGCTGTCTGACGAGCAGGTGGTCGGTCAGACGTGCCACAGCTACCGCTCGATCGATGATTACTTGGCCTTAACGCTTTTCCCAACCAACAAAACCTTAGCTGAGGCCCAGTTGTAAGTTTTCTTCCTCTCTTAATGGATAAGGAATGCGGCAAGCACCGAATCGAACTCGGCGATACCCTATCAACTTGAGGCTTATACGAATCCACTGATTAATGAATCCATTAGCCATCAGCGTGCCTCTAATCAAAGCTGATTAACTAGTTGGCCGATTAACGATTGCCCCTCGGGATTTGATTGATGCACTCTTGAGGAACATCAAGATCAAGTCTCCCCTGCAGGCCTCGGTTCCCAGACCACCCACCCGCAATGCCCTATATGCTAGGGTATGACGAGAGCGGAACGAGTTTTATCGCCTCACCAGTCGCACGCTTCCCAGTCCAGTCCAGTCCAGTCAGTCAGTCGATCGCGGTGCTCGGGAGTGCGACAACGGGGTTGGCGCTTAAATGGATTTGAAATCGGAGATCCCGATTACCTCAAAGATGCTGCGGCTTCTGGGCCTTTGGTGCTGCTGGGCCTTCAGTTCAGTTTCGTCTGACAGCACAACCACCGGTCGGAGCACCCAGCTGTATGTGCAGCCCCACCTGAGCATCGGCAGCTGCCTGGATTATTGCCACTTCAGATTCATTCCGTTCCTGCCATGCATCGACGACAACAATCAGTTTGCGAGTAGCCCGGCGGAGGCCTGTGGCAGAGGCAACTGCGATTCAGAGCACTTTGAGCTCAACTACAGAACCAGCGATGGAGTGGAGGTGGAGTCCCGCAGGAATCACGTGGAGAGAACGAGACTTGGCCGATTGGCCAACTTGCGGGAGCTGTGCCTGGACGATAGGGGTTTCCCCGTGAGGCGCAGATGTGAGATCCGCAATGGCACCACGGCGTGGCAGAGCCTGAGCAACATCACCTGTCGAACCGGCCGGAAGCTGAGCTCGAATCTGAACCGATTGGCTGTGGAGGGTGCGCCGGATATGATAATCAGATTGAGCCACCTCCTGCGCCAATCCCACGAACCACTGAAGCCTGTCGACATCTTCAGCATTGGCCAAATCTTCGAGTCGCTCTTGCAGAAGCCGAAGAATGCCTCTTTCGTGACCGATCTGCTGGACATCTGCCTGCGCGTGATGGCCACCGACTGGGAAACACTGCATCTCTCGGCCGAGCTGAATGCCACCAACACACTGCTGTCCAACTTTGAGGACTACCTAGATGCCCTTCCACCCCAGATTGTGCCCAAAGAGAGCTGCAGCGTTGAAGCCATGGGACATAGTCACGTGTCTGGGGTGAATGGCGTCTACGCTCTCATCAGCAACGAGCTCAGTGTGTTCTTTGTGAATCCGGACTGTGCCAATGTGACGGGCATCGCCATACACAGTGTGGGATCTGATCGACAAGAAGGCGCCTCCCCACATGCGGCAGTCTTTGGCTACAGTCCTTTGAGTTCATCCGAGAGCCTGGAGAATATCAGAGCCAGGAAGGGGCTGGAGACAGCAGCCTTTGTGCCAGAACCACTGTGGAGATCGCTGAAGCAGAAGGGAGCCACATACCTGGTCTTCAAGGTCTACACACGCGATTCCCTCTTTATGGAAACGGAGAGCAGCGCGCGCATTCCGAGCAGTGCCGTCATATCCATATCCATTCCTGGAATGAAGGGTGAGAGTGGTCTATTTTGATCCGCAGTTCTTCGAGTAATATCCAACTACTCCCTGCAGATAATTCCCTGCCTCTGAAGCTGCCGTTTTTCCTGCGCAATGGAAACACACACTCCTCCCTAATGGCGGGTGGAGGGTGTGGCTACTGGAACTATGAGACCTGGCTGAGCGATGGGATTACCACCTGCAGCAATGGCAGTTCTGATCCCATCATCCTCTGCCATGCCGATCACCTCACACAGTTCTCCTTTCTGCTGGGCATCAGCAGGAGTCAGACGGGTGTGGACCAATACGAGGATGATCGAACCTTGGACATGATCACTAATGTGGGACTGAGCCTGTCGCTATTCGGACTTCTGGCCATCTTCCTGACTGCGGCGCTCTTCAGGCGCTTCCGGCGCCTGGCCTCCACCAAAGTGCTGCTCAATCTCTGCCTGGCATTGGCTCTGCAGACACTGCTCTTCATGGATATCGGCAAGGGGGAGCTGCTGCGGCTAGTGCAGTTCGGGGATAGCTGCCTGATTGGGGGCGCCCTCATGCAGTACTTCCTGCTGGTCGTCTTCAGCTGGATGCTCATCATCGGCTTCCTGCAGTTCAAGCGCTATGTGAAGGTCATTGGCGTCACCTATCCCCGCCATTATATTTTCATATCCGCCCTGGTCGCCTGGACCTTGCCGCTGGTCCCCACCCTGTTACTGGTTGAACTGGATCCAGCCTCGTACAGGCCCCCCCAAGAGTCGCCAGATATGCCGCCCACTTTCCTGTGCTACCCCTCCGGCCACGGTCTGTACCTTGCCGTGGTCCTTCCCATTGCTCTGGTGACACTGGCCAACGCCCTGATGGTCGGCTACATCACCATCAGCGTCTACCGAGCGCTGAATACACGAGGCCAGCATGTGCTCCAGCAGCTGCGGCTTTTTGTGCTGCTCTTTTTCCTGTTGGGCCTCACGTGGATCTTCGGATTCTGCAGCTACTTCCAGTGGGGCAGAGCCTTCTCCTACCTGTTTTGCCTGATGGCCACGCTGCAGGGGTTCGTGCTGTTTGTTTATTTTATTATCTTTAACATAGACAACCGCTTAGCCTGGTTGCATCTCATCTGCAAATGGAAATTCAGGGAAGAGCTAGACATTGTCGCACTGCGCGCACACGACAAGTCGGCGTTCAGTCGCTCAAGCCAATTATCAAATTCATCAAACTATTAAGAATGCATAGTTTATAATGCCAATAAAATAGATACTATAATTATTAGAATATAAAATATACTCCTAAGTAACTGTGCAACCATTAGTCAGTTTTTGCTTAAATAAAATAATAAATTGAATCTGTTAAGCTAGCTGGATAATTGCCGGCGTTCATAAACAGCGAAACCAGTCTACTTGGTTAATGATTTTCTCAGATCAGACTGAAATTCAGTTCAAATTTTACTTTCAAGCAAGCGCGCCATGTAAATTAGAAGCTGCTTGCTATGACACTCAACAATCGATGAAGTTATCGATGCAGGAATTAAAATCGAACGTATCTGACAAAAGCTCGCTGCTGTAAATTGAAAGCTCCCCAGCCATCTTCTGTGAGCTTTTTGAGCTGCGGCATCTGAGCTTTGTATGTATGAGCTTTTAACCGCTTCAACCGGATCGAGCGGACAAGTAATTCCCCGCTCGGCTCGTTTAAATTTATCGCTTCTAATTTATGTAAATGAGATGACAATCTCTGGGGTTTTCGGTGAATTTTTTTTCATAGATTATTACGACGGCAGGTCGCTCACTCGGCTTTATTGGATGTGATAGGGTCGTAACTCATAGTCATGGCTGTGGTGGGTGCAGGGGAAGGGATGGGGATCGCGTGGATGTTGTGTTTTGGCTTAAATTAGATTGTCGCACTTAAATGCCAGCACTGGCCTTAAAACAAAAAATTAAAATATCGTTAAGTTATATGTATACTACTATAATAACCAGTAAGATTAAAACAAATTAGCCTCATCTACTGGTTGCCTCCGCTGCGATTCGCGACGGCATTCCACAGCCCAGAAGCCGAAGCCGAAGCCGATACCGATGCCGAACTCGTTTGAACAACACACGGTGCCGCCGCCGACAGCGCGACAACAACTCAGCGTCGTATCAAGAGTAATCGCAGCGGTATGTAAGAGCTTCCGGGTACCACATCCTTGCCGTCGGGCAGGAAATTCTGTGCATAGTTCTTTGGTGTCGGCGTATTCGGTGGCAGGGCGTAGTCCAGTATGTGCTCCGAGGCGGCGGGCATGCGGACGTAGACCAGCAACTGCATCTTGGAGCCCACTTCCGTTTTGGCCTGCTGATTGAGGGCTCGCCGCGAGAACTGCGGACTGTCCGCCTGCTGAAAGCGTTGCAGATGGCCTTGGATAATCCGCCGTAGTGCTGCCATGGTGCTTGGCGCTGGCGTCGAGTAGAAGTACGGTTGAGGCTGGCGGCGAGGCAAATACTCCCGACTCTGAGTGCCGGCTCCAACCACGGCCAGCATTGAGACGAGCAGCAACTGGAAGTGAAGTGGCAAATCATTTAATGATTTATCCGCGGGGTATGAGGATACACTTACCCAAAAGCACGACCTGTACATGTTTTCCCTATGAATTATCTTTCGATTTCAGCACGATCTTCGACCGCTCTCCGTTTGGCTCAACAACAGACTGAGCACAGGCGAGCTGCTCTGGTGGGTCTGCGTCCGCCATTCTCCTCCATCGACTCGTTTCAAGTTCAGGGTCTCCATTGCCATCTCCATTTCCATCCATGCATTTACATAAATTTCTAGCCGTCCGAGCAGCGTTCGGGGCCCAGTCATAGACATTCTCCCTCCGTTCTCCATTCTCCGTTCTCCATGCTCTGTTCCTCCGACTAATTTTTCGGTTTTCGGCGGCTGGCACTGGCACTGGCACTGGCACTGGCACTGGCACTGGCACGTGATTTATGCATAGAAGATCGCTTCGAAGATCACCTTCGTGAGCGACTAAATATATATTTTGCAATCCAGTTTAATCGATCAACAGATTCCCATTCCCACTACCTATACCAAGCCAAGCCCCTACTAAGACAATCTCTGCCATTTCTCAGCTGACTTGATGACTGAGATCCCACAGATAGCCAGATATCCAGATAGCCAGATAGCTGGGGTTTTTTTGGCACAGACGGCCGGGCGACTTCTTTGGGGTGTTCGCGCCGATATAATTATGCAGATTTGATTTAAAACAACTGAATAAATCAACTTTATGAGTGGTCGCCTTACAAGAGGTCGGCTATTCGCTCATCTAGGGCTAATTTGCATAATAGTTTCTATATAGAGATGTAGAAGCGTGGCCAGCTCAGAGCAGAGACTCCTTTGTAGTGAATTTATATTGATTTTTAATCACCGACTCGACTCTTTGTGCCGTGCCTGACAATACGCATCAAAAGCATCGAAGCTCGATGATCGTTTGTCTTGTCATTCGATATGGCAGTCGCAGAGCTCCGATCCAAACTGAATGATGACTCTCTCAAATATGGATTAGATCTGAAGATGGGGACAACAAAGCAGAACATAATGCGATTCATATGCTAAGTGATAGAGCTGCTTGAGACCCGTATTGTATTACCCCCAGCCCATAGTTGATGTGTTTAATGTGTGCTCGGATCGATTGAGATGTTGAAATGGCAGATCATCAATCGAATCGAATCGAATCAACCGGGCGGGGGGGTTGCTCGATTAACATACTTATGAGCAGCAATCGGTAAATGATCGCAAAACAGCTTAACGACTGTTCGATTGATTGTAAAATGGTAATCAGCGGGGCAGAATACGACCAATCCAATCATTAATTGATGTTTGAATTAATTGATTATCTTTATAAAAGAGCTTTGCTTTGAATATTCACCCAAATTCACCCAAATGTTTATTCAGATAAGCAGCAGAGATTTACGAACTCGATTTAATTAGAATGCAATCAAATGATGGCTTTTTCACGCCCACAGCTCACACGCCACACCATTGGAAAAGTTGTTCCAGATCTCGCGTACAATTACCAAAATGGATATCAAATGAAAGTGCACTGGAGCACTTCCTGCCTCCCTCTGCTCAGCCTTAGGGTAAGACCTCCCACCCACCCCCTAAAATATTGATGAGTCAGCCAACGGAAACGGAAACGCAATTAAAGCTCCACGTTGGCTGCAAATAAGCTTGTGGCATTAGGCAATAACAAATTTTGCAGGATTATGCAGAATGCAAATATCGACTCGATTGCATTAGCATTTTGATTTATATGCAAACTAACAAAGGGGATGATGAGATGAGCGGGTTCTTTCATGCAATGGAATGCTGGCAGAACGATGATTCGCTTGTAATTACTATGTAAATTATTTATGCAATTAACTCGACCAACTCCAGAGCGAGAAGCTCAAGCCACGAACCGTACTCCGAACACGACCATCAGCCATACATCCATATTGATGAGGGTCCTTTCCGGCTGAGCACACCGCTTATGAGCACATATGTACAATGTTTGTCCACACACCATACTACATACTCCATAATACATAATACATATTTCATATGCCATTCAAATGCAGCATCATAATCAGGGCAGGGGTTCGGGGAAGCAGCCATCCATTGGAGCGAGTCCAGCTGCCGTTGAGTGCTAAATCCTCTGTCGCATATGTTTGGGGAGGCTCCCCTGTCAAAGAGAACAAAAGAAATAACAAACAAACAAAAATGGGATCCTAGCTGCGGGAGTCGCATGTACTGATACCCCTGGTGCACGATCTCTTTTTTGGTGGTTTTACGTTGTACAAACATCTAGGAATATGTGAGTTATATATGTGCCACTCTGCAAAGTAGGGGGACTGGAATAACCCACCTACATTTATATAGTCTGTTAGGATTGAGCTGCTGCTACAATCATCTGCCTCGCATCGTATTACCCTCTGCTAGGGCATCAAAAGAGGGCCACAAAAGTTGGCCCAAATGTCCAGAACTAAATCCTGAATGCTGCGTAATGAGTTTGATGGGCTTTTGAACTAAACTAAATTGAAGACCGGCATTTTATTGGTATTCCCACTCTGATTCCCATCTCCATACCCATTTCGATTCGATGCTGATGATGATGATATGAGCGGAGACTAGCAAATGGGAATCCGCACATGAGGCAGGCCAAAATCGTGAAATAAGAAACGTAGCGTGGATGCAAGCAGCAAATTGAGTTATGGTCTCCGTTGCCTCATATTTTATGCATGACAAGGGCAAGCGAATTGCTTTCCAATCGACTTGGCGCACTCGAGAGCCGCTCCACCTGCTCCTCGGACTCCCCCAGCAGGGAGTGTCCTTGTCCTTCCTTCCATCCCGAAGGGTGCGTCCAGACAGACCGACCCATTATCCTCCAGTTATCGGGATCGTCCAAATGGATCATCGATTATATTTATATTGGACAGTCACGACATTCCCATTCCCATTCCCATCGCTGGCATGCCATTCCACTTTCTTATGGCCTGTCTGCCTGTCTCTATTTGGGGCTAGTGTAATTAAAGGTTGAACAAACTTTTCGGATACCGAAAAACTAATTAAAATAGTTTGCCTTTTGCTGCAGTCAATTGGCAAACTGGCAGAGCCTGGCATTTTGGAGCTTTGAGTTGTCTACTTTGACATTAATGAAGATGCCTCAATCTCCCCGAGGTCGGAGGAGCTCTGCCAGAAAGCTAGCTTTACCTTTGACCTTTCAACCTGTACATAATTTATGCTGTTTGGCCTTCTTTCTTCTGCCTTCTGCCTCCTGTAACTGTGCCTCTGCCTTTGCTCCGACTGCACAACTCCCAGCTGGCAATCATTCATCATAATACAAGAATGAGCCAGAAATTTGCAACTGACAGCAGCACCCCGCCACCCCACTACTGTACCCCGGCAGCAGTGCAAAAATAAAAGGAATTTCTGCATATTTAATAAGTTTATGCGCTTTGTGCAATAATCCCCAATGCCACATACACATTGCGGCAAAAAAAATTAAGTTAAATGTCGGGTAGAGTCCAGCGCTCCATCATTTTATGGCCACTATAGCTTTTCGCAGTTTTTATAATAGACAAAAAATAGTAAAAACCTAGATGTGGGGCATAATTTTGGACACCAGTGTGGGTCTCTGATATATTTAGTTGTATGCAAATTCCGGGCTACACATTCTCATTTTGACGCAATTCCCCGGGGCCATTTTGATGCGGTGTGGCTTTTAGCGGCTCCTGCGGCTCGTGCATACGTCAGATATGCAAATCCAGATACAGTTTCGTCTGTGTTCCGGTCTGTTTTTACCTTTTTGGACCGCAATCTTGTGTGCCTCTT